CGTGTAAAAGAATGCAATCAGAACACTTCCTAACACCATACACAAAGATAAACTCAAAATGGACTACAGGCCTAAATGTAAGGCCAGAAACTATAAAACTCTTAGAGGAAAACAGGCAGAACACTCGATGACATAAATCAAAGCAAGATCATCTATGACCCACCTCCTAGAGTAATGGAAATAAAAACAAAAGTAAACAAGTGGGACCTGATTAAACTTAAAAGTTTTGCACAGCAAAGGAAACTATAAGCAAGGTGAAAAGACAACCCTCAGAATGGGAGAAAATAATAGCTAATGAAACAACTGACAAAGGATTAATTTCCAAAATATACAAGCAGCTCATACAACTCAATACCAGAAAAACAAACAACTCAATCAAAAAGTGGGAAAAAGACCTAAACAAACATTTATCCAAAGAAGACATACAGATGGGTAACAAACACATGAATAGATGCTCAACATTGCTCATTATTAGAGAAATGCAAATCAAAACTACAATGAGATATCACCTCACACTGGTCAGAATGGCCATCATCAAAAAGTCTACAAACAGTGAATGCTGGAGAGGGTGTGGAGGAAAGGGACCCCTCTTGCACCGTTGGTAGAAATGTAAATTGATACAGCCACTATGGAAGACAGTAGGGAGATTCCTTAAAAAACTAGGAATAAAACCACCATACGACCCAGCATATACCCTGGGCATATCCCACTCCTAGGCATATACCCTGAGGAAACCAAAATTGAAAAAGACACATGTATCCCACTGTTCATTGCAGCACTATTTACAATAGCTAGAACACGGAAGCAACCTAGATGTCCATCGACAGATGAATGGATAAAGAAGTTGTGGTATATATACACAATGGAATATTACTCAGAAATAAAAAGGAATGCACTTGAGTCAGTTCTAATGAGGTGGATTAATCTAGAACCTATTATACAGAGTGAAGTGAGTCAGAAAGAGAAAGATAAATATTGTATTCTAATGCACATATACAGAATCTAGAAAAATGGTATTGAAGAATTTATTTACAGGGCAGCAGTGGAGAAACAGACATAGAGAATAGACTTACGGACATGGGGAGAGAGGAGGGGAGGGTGAGATTATGGAAAGAGTAACATGGAAACTTACATTACCATATGTAAAATTGATAGCCAACGGGAATTTGCTGTATGGCTCAGGAAACTCAAACAGGGGCTCTGTATCAACTTAGAGGGATGGGATGGGGAGGGAGATGGGAGGGAGTTTCAAAAGGGAGGGGATACATGTATACCTATGGCTGATTCATGTTGAAGTTTGACAGAAAAGAACAAAATTCTGTAAAGCAATTATCATTCGATAAAAAAAAAATTTTTTTAAATCCTTGTCAGATAATTCTAACATCTGATTCATCTTGGTAGTGATGTCAGTTGATTGTCTTTTCTCACTCTAGTTGTGATTCTCTGGTTCTTGGTATGATGGGTGATTTTTCATTGTATCCTGGACATTTGGCTACTATGTTAGGAGACAATTTAAATCTTTTATTTTAGTGGACAATGTTTAGCTTTAGCACACAATTCCTAGCCTACTTTTGTAGGCTGTGGTTTCAATGACAATTTACTTTTCAGAACCTCTGTGGTGCAATTTTGTCTGGCTTGGTTAACATGGTGCTGACGGGGCCCTCCCTGGTCCCTGCTGGTGCTGCCTGAGGGAGCAGAAGGTGCTTCACCAGGCTGGGCTGCCTCATGTCTCTAGGTGGAGGAGGTGAGTCTCTAGTCTTTAAAAAGAGCACATTACCTGACTTTGCTTATTCTGGTGGCAACTCCCCCACCCCTTGCCAGTGCTGTATGCCTGGTATATCTTTTGGGGAAAGGGGAATCCTTAAGATCATAAGGACAAAAGGCTTCCTGAGCCAGACTGCTTGCTGCAATAGGATTTCCCCTTGATGGTGCCATTTGCACAGTATCTTTTGGTGGGCCAGGGGAGTCTCTGGCCTGGTGGGAAACGAAAGCACTTCTCCTGACTGCTTATTGTCAGTGGGGCTCCCTGCTATATTTCCTTGCTGGAGTTGCCATGCTCACTTAGTATTGTCAGCAGGACTCCCACTCAACCCAGAGGAGCCTACCTGAGCAACCATCTGTTGCTAGGTTGGGAGCTGGGAAATACTGGGCCTATGTTGCCTTCTGCTGGGTGGTAAGTCATAAGGCTACCACGATGTTCCTCCAGTCCTGGAATTCCCAGCCACTCTGCCTTCCTCTTTACCTCTTTTAGAATTCTCCTTTGGTTGCCTCTTGAATTATTTCTAGGATTCATAATTATACTCAGCTGAGAGGAAGAGGGAGCAATGAGTCTATGCCATCTTGTCCAGACTGAAAGTAGAAGTCCAATTTCACATTGGTTTCTGCTGCTGCTTCTCCTAGGAATGACTCCGGCTTTCATCTGCCACCCTTCTCTTGGCAAAGAGGTGCTCAGGAGGCTTTGCTTTGGGTAATATAACAAGTTCTCAGTTCAGGAGGGTTTTTTGTGTTTATGTCTGTGGTCTGTTTGTTTTTGAGAAGAAAGGCTGGCAGAGACCAGCCCTGAAGCAGCAACTGTGTTACCGTGGGGAAACACTCTTGATTGGAGGCTGAGTCAGCTGTGGATCTGTCTGGCCTATATGACACTCCGATGGCCCTGCACTCACAGGATCATATTTTGAGGAGTCAGAACAACCAAAATTTGGCATTAATATTTCCAGACAGGATGGAGGCAGAAAATCAGAAAATAAGATTTTAAAATATTCTCCTTTCTCTGCAGAAAACCTTGGCATATCAGTACACTGTGCAGCACTGATCTTCAAGGAAAACAAGAGGCCACTGGAGAAGACTGCCTGTTCTAGTACGCTGAATCGTGATCCCCCAGAGATGTCCATGTCCTAATCCTTGGGATCTGTGAAGGTGTTACCTTACATGGACTTTGCAGGTGTGATTAAGTTAAGGATTTAAGATGGGGACATTATCCTGGATTATCCAGGTGGGCCTAATCTAATTACAGAGTCCACATAAGGGAGAAACAGCAGGGTTAGAATTAGAGAAGGCAATGTGAAGCAGGGGTCAGACACTGACAGAGAGGTTTGAAGATGTTATGTGCTGGCTTTGAAGATGGAGGAAGGGGCCATGAACCAAGGAATGCCCGTGGCTTCTGGAAGCTGAAAAATGGATGATTTTAGACTTCTGATCTCCAGAAGTGTAAGATAATAAATATATGTTGTTTTAAGCCATTTAGTTTGTGGTAATTTATTATAGTAGCAACAGGAAGTAATACACTGACAGAGGGCAAGGAAGGGTCATGATGGGGGCGGATGGTCAGAGAGTACTATAGGGTAGTAGGAACATGGCTGCTGTTTAAATGCTTGCTGCACAAGTTTCATGTTTAAAACTCCAGTCTGAGAGGAGACTGATTCAAAGTCTAGACCACGGCTGAAAATTAGAACTTTTTACGATGATGGGAAGGTTCTGTATCTGCACTCCCCAATACAATAGCAATTATTAGGCACATGTGACTACTGAGAACATGAAATGTGGCTAGGGCTAATGAGGAAATGAATTTTTAATCTGATTTACTTAACTTACATTGAAATCTCAAAAGTTTCATGTAGCTAGTGGCTGCTTGTATTGACAGAGCAGGTCTCTACCATTAAAAAGAGTGTGGATAAGGTCAATACAAACTTATTCGTTTAATTCTTCAATGCTAGAAAACTAGCTTGCCAAAAACAGCTTGTATCAAATTAAAGAAGCACCAACACTTCTCTGGAGATCAAATTTCTCATAACCTCTGCCATAACACAAGTACAAACCTAGAAGAGGAAAAAACATCTAAACAGCCTGAGAAACTGCTATCATAAAATCCATGAACTTCACAGGAAATATATGAGGTCAGCCCTTGGTGAAACATCTGTACCTTAGAAGAACCTAGAATACACTGGTCTCAGCCTCTGACACCAAAAAGAGTAAAGCTGGAAACTAAACAAGATAGAATTTCAAAAGCACAGAAATCTGGGACCCATTTAATCGGGAAAGACATATTACTACATGCCTCAGAGGTCCAGGGCAAAAGCAGATGGTCATAATGGCCACTCTGAGTCACAAAGCAAGGTTATATTATATTCTGTGCCATCTGTTTAAGAAGGCAAACAGTAAATGATGCAATTAAAAAAAAGAAAACCTCAACAAAGAAAATGGGTAAATGCAAAATAAAACAAAAAACTATGTTTTCAGTGTCATGCAAAACCCCTACCTTTTTTTCTTAAACTTTTTATTCTGTACTGGAGTATAGCTGATTAACAACACTGTGATAGTTTCGGGTGAGTGCCAAAGGTGAGAGCCATACATATACATGTTTCCATTCTCTTCCAAACCCCACTCCCATCCAGGCTGCCACAAAATCCTGAGCAGAGTCCCATGTGCTATATAGTCAGTCCTTGTTGGTTATCCATTTTGAATAGAGCAGTGTGTACATGTCCATCCCAAACTCTCTAACTATCCCCCCTCTTTCTCCTGGCAACCATAAATTACAGAGACTGTGAGTCTCTGTTTTGTAGGTTCATTTGTATTGTTTCTTTTTAGATTCCACGTATAAGTGATATCATATAATATCTGTCTTTCTGTATCTGACTTACTTCACTCCGTATGGCAATCTCTAGGTCCATCCATGTTGTTGAAAATGGCATTTGTTGTGTTCTTTTTTTATGGCTGAGTACTATTCCACCACACACACACACACACACACACACACACACACACACACACACATTCTTCATCCATTCCCCCACTGATGGACATTTAGGTTGCTGCCATGTTTGGCTATTGTCAACAGTGCTGCAATGAACATGGGCAGAACCCCTACTTTTAAGGTACCGGCCACTGTGCTATATCACCCATTCCAGCTCTTTGTCACTGTGGCTGTCACCATCATGATATGCACTAGGGTTGGTAAATCACTTCAAGCATTCTCTCACCATTACCATCAACACCATTCTCACCTTATCCTTCTGCTTTAACTGCCACACAACTTCCAAATCTGGATCAATGCAACCAGCCACCACTGCTGTTTCTGTGTCCATGCTGCTGAGCCCTGGGAGAGAAAAGAGCACAGTGGTACAGGACAGGATCATCTTGAAATGCATGGTCTCTGTGGAATATTACATGGTGGTTATATATGCAAGAAATCTATATGTGCTGATATGGACAAATATTCAAGGCACCTTAAATTAAAAAGCAAGTGATATCACACCCCAAGTATGGCAATCATCAAGATAACAAATGTTGGTGAAGATGTGGAGAAACTGCAACCCTCTTGGGTTGCTGGTGGGAATGTAAAATGGTGCAGTCACTTTGAAAATATGTGGCAGTTTCTCAAAATGTCAAACATAGAGCTACTGTATGATCCAGTGTTATGGAAGTTAAATGAATAGTCTTGTATAGGCTTCAAAGAAAAGCAAAGCAGGCCTCTGACCTTGTTTCTAATCTGTCTGGACACTGCCCTGACTGGGAGTGACTGGGAGTGACTGTCTGCTATGAATGCAAGACTCACAGCACCATAGATAAGATGGGGGAGGAATCGTGAGATTGTTGAGAACCTGGAGGGGGCCTGGACAACCAAGCCCCAGGCTTTAGTTCAGTTCAGTTCAGTCACTCAGCCGTGTCCAACTCTTTGTGACCTCATGGACTGCAGAACACCAGGCTTCCCTGTCCATCACCAACTCCCAGAGCTTACTCAAACTCATGCCCATCGAATCGGTGACACCATCCAACCATCTCATCCTTTGTTGCCCCCTTCTCCTCCCGCCTTCAATCTTTCCCAGCAGCAAGGTCTCTTCCAATGAGTCAGTTCTTCACATCAGATGGCCAAAGTATTGGAGTTTCGGCTTCAGTGTCAGTCCTTCCAATGAACACCCAGGACTGATTTCCTTTAGGATTGACTGGTTGGATCTCCTTGCAGTCCAAGGGACTCTCAAGAGTCTTCTCCAACACCACAGTTCAAAAGCATCAATTCTTCGGCACTCAGCTTTCTTTATAGAAATGTTGCTATAGGCTTAGCAACATTCCCAGTTTTACAAGACAAAACAAACAGCATTAACAGGAAACTAGGCTTGCAATTTGGTCACAGATTGATGATGATATCAGTTTGCATCCATCCTGGGATTATAAGAAGGAACCCCGAACTGCAATCTTTGAAGTCTCACCCACGGAGTGGACACACTGCCTGGGACCCTTTTCCCAATCTGGACTCCAGATGTGCTGTGACAAGGGACTTTAAGTCTGGATGCTGGTCAAAACCCAACTTGGTGATGTATACTCCGCTCTTTCTAGTTCTCTTTTCTTTTAATTAAAGTAAGCTAGATAATTCTCTAATAAATATCTATATTATTTATTTGTATATAACAAGTGGCTTACTTTGTTAACAAATCCTTTGAACCTGAAACAAAAGTGAAAACTTTCAGCAAAACACCAGCATTCCACTCCTTGGTATATATTCAAGAGATATGAAAATAAGCATCCACACGAAAACTTGTAAATGAATGTTCATAACAGTATTATTCATGACAGTTAAAAAGCGGAAACAACCCAGTGTCCACTAACTGATGAATTGATAAAAAAAAATGTGGTGTACATGTACAAAGGAATGTTATTCAGCAGTAAAAATAATGAAGTTCTGATTCATGCTATAACATAGACGAGCCTCGAAAACATGTGCTAAGTGAAATAGGCCAGTCACAAAAGACCATGTATTACATGCTTCCATTTATAGGCAAGTCCAAAATAGGCTAATCTATAGAGACAGAAAGGAGATTAGTGGTGTCTTCAGGCTGTGGGTGGGCATTGGGGATAAGGGAGTAACAGTTAAAGGTCTCAGGGTTTTGTTTTGAGGTGATGAACATGTTCCAAAAACTGACTATGATGGTGGTTGTATATATCCATGAATATACTAAAAACCACTGAATTGTACAGTTTTAATGTGTGAATTGTATGGTGTGCGAAGTACAGCTCAATTCAATAAAGCTGTTATTTTTTTTTAAAAAGCAAGTGCTAGAATAATGCATGTACTATGAGTTCATTTACATAAAACCCCAAACTACATATGCATGCAATATAAACATTTGTGAATGTATGTAAATATATAGAAGATGATTTGGAAGGCTCCCCACCCATCTGTTAGCATTGGTTACTTCTGGAGAGGGAAGCAGGACTGCCTTCTGTACTCTCACACTTTCCGGCTTCTCCTCCTACCACCCTAGTTGTTCCTTCAAGTTGCTTTTGTAAGCATCCCTTCCTCTGCACATCTCTTTAGAATCTCATTTTACTCTTCAGGCTCTCCTTGAAGTGATCCTAAGATCACACATTTCCCACAGCTTCAACTTCCATTCATATCCCAACCCATTCATTCAGCAAATATTCATTGAGCACCTACCAGGTACTGTACGAGTACCTTTGATTCCTTCCTTTCCCTCACCTCCCATCCCTCACCCAGCAAATTCCACCAGTCCCCTCTCCAATAAACATACAGTAAGACCCCTACCTATGAATGAGTTCCAGTCCAGTTTGTTCCTAGGTCCATTTGCTGGTCTAAGAGGAAAGAATTTTTACAAAGGCAACTTGAAGGAACAGCCAAAGTGTCTGACCCTCAGGTTTTTCGCTGAAGCAACTAGACAGACGGTGGGTGCCACTGAGGCTGGAAGACAAGGAGAGGAACAAGCAGGATTGGGTCTTGCTTTAAGAACTGAGTTCTGGGCATGTTAAATTTGAGATGTGTGTGAGTTATCCAACTGGAGATCCTAAGTAGATGGCTGGCTATAGAAGTCTAGATAGACCTCAGTGAGGTGGTCAGGGCTAGAGAGGGAAGTTTAGAAACTGAACTTATCAATATAGATATAGTATTTAAAGCCCTGGGAATAAATAACCTAGGAAGAAAGTGGAGAGTAAGAAAAAAAGGGGCCTGATGCAGAGTTCTAAAGTCTCCCATATTTGTATGTCCAGTGCTATCCTCCTTCTTCCATGAGTTCCAAATGCCTTAGATAAACCTGATATGGCCCCAAATGATTCCATCGACTTCCTCTTCAAAACTGGTCCTCCTCCTGTATTCATCAGTCAATTCAATCTCCAGTACCATTCCCCACCTTTCCATCCCCATGACAGTTACTTTAGGTCATCAACCTCATCATCTTATGCCTGGATGACTACAGTAGTTTCTTAGCTGACATCTCTGCCACTAGTATTTCCCCCCAACTGTGGCTGCCAGTAGGGTCCTTCTAAAATGCCCCATCATGGTATTTCCCTACTTAAAACCTTTTGATGATTTCCCATTGTTCAAGATAAAGTAAAAATTCTTAAACTTAATGTATAAGGTCTTTTAGGATTTGTTTTCTGCTGACATTTTCAACTTTATCTTCCATTTACCCCCTCTCCCTTACATCCTAGGCATACCAATTGATCAACTGCCTTTAGTTCTCTGGACACATCATTCTTATTTATTTCTACAAACATGTACCTACCTGCAACGTACCCCATCACTAACTGTTCTCCAGCTCTATGAAAAGTTTTCAGATTGCCCTCCAAACCAACTTGATCTCTTATTTCTTGATGTCCCCTCAGTATCCTGAGCATGCTTCCATCTTTATTGTCTATATCTTATTATATTTCTATGTCCATGTAGCTCTCTCCCTCTACTAGCCAATAAGCTTAATGAGGGTAGGGATGGTACTTACTTGTTTTACCAGCACTTAATATGGTGCCGAGCATATAGTTAATCACATCAGCCAATATTTATCAAATGCTTATTATTAGTGCTAAGTAATTTGATAAGTGCTTTACATGCACTGATTCATTTAATCTTTAAAAAAAATTTATTGGAGTATAGTTGATTTACAATAATGTGTTAGTTTCAGGTATACAGCAAGTGAATCAGTTATACATAGATATATATCCACTCTTTCTTAGATTATTTTCCCATTTAGGCCACTACAGAGTATTGTGTACAGTTCCTTATTGTGTAGGTTCTTATTAGTTATCTATTTTATATACGGTAGTGTATGGGGCTTCCCAGGTGGCTCAGTGATAAAGAATCAGTCTGCCAATGCAGGAGTCTTGGGTTCGATCCCTAGGTCAGGAAGATCCCCTGGAGAAGGAAATGGCAACCCACTCCAGCATTCTTGCCTGGAGAATTCCATGGAGATTTCAAAAGGAGCCTGGTGGCCTATAGTTCATGGGGTCACAAAAGAGTCAGACATGACTGAATGAATGAGCACGCACATACGCCACTCCAGTTTCCTGCTGGTGACCATAAGTTTCTTTTCTACATCTGTGGCTCTATTTGTTTTGCAAATAAGTTCATTTGTACCACTTTTTTAGATTCCATGTATAAGTATTATCATGTGATATTTGTCTTTCTCTGACTTACTTCATTCAGTATGACAATCTCTAGGCCCATTCATATTGCTGCAAATGGTATTATTTCACTCTTTTTATGGTGAAGCAATATTTCATTGTATGATTCATTTAATATGTACAACAATTCCATGAGGCAGGTACTATTACTATGCTCAACTGAGAAGTAGGAAATAGACACAGAGAGGTTAAGTAACTTTGTCCAAGTCACACAGCTAGTAAGTAATGGATACAAGCCCAGTCAGTCTAGCTCCGATGTCTGCGCTTGTAATCACTAGTCCCTCAGCAAATAAATGCCTGTTCAATGAATGGAAAATTGGAAACGTGGGACATGTGATTTTTTTTTCATGTTATTATTCTAACCTTGACAATTTCATCTTTTCTTTCATTAAAAAACCTCATTTCATTCAGAGCTCAGACTCAATAAAGCTACAAAATCAAATAACAGATCCTGTGCTATGGAGCTCAAGGGAGCCAATAAGGGCAAATGTCATTATCCTCACACCTCCAGGCACTTAGCAAGTCAGGTTGATTTACTGATGTTCAATGACTAGGGCCAAAGCACAAAAAAATAAGATAGGTCTAAACATCATACCATCTTAACATCAAAACATCCTGACAGTAACCATTTACTGAGCACCTCACAGATGTCAGGCACTTTGCTGAGAGTTTTACATGAATTACCTCATT